TGATATTCATAAGAGTTGAATAGTGCAGGGGTTTACATATCGCTAAATACCGATCATAAGACATCACTGCTAGGAGATAGCATTCTGTACATGCCAGAGAACCACAGAAATACAGTTGCGTGAAGCAGCCACTGACTGAGATGGTTTTGTCCCCAGTCAGGAGACTGGCCAGCAACCTGGGCAGGATGGTTGAGGTGTAACAGGTCTCCAGGCAGGACAAATTCCCCAGGAAGAAGTACATGGGGGTGTGAAGGTGCTGGTCAGCCACAATGAGCACCACGATGAGGGTGTTCCCAGCCACGGTTGCGATGTATATCACTTGGAAGAGAAGAATTTGCAGGTCAGGCAGATCCCCGAATCCCAGGATGATGAATTCTGTGATTGCCGTTTGGTTTCCCCAGTCTCTGTCTGCCATGGTTTGAGTCCAGGAACAATAAAACAAGCTGTGCAATTGAATTGGAAGAACATAGAGTTAAAAGTTAATCAAGTCTCATGAATTAATTCCATAAATATTTGGAAAATCCCCTTCCTGTCCTGATTACAGGCTGAAATTTTAAGCCTAAATGTAGAGTTCAGAGCAAAGTTCCAGAAGTCTCAATTCATTTCTCAGGGTTTGAGACAAGGTGGGTGAGGTAATACCTTTTATTGGACCAACTTCTGATGGTGAGAGACAACTTTTCGATTACACAGAGCTCTTTAGGGTTTGGCAGACAGGACTCCGGTTCCACTGAGGTTCTTGTCTTTCATCATTCTGCAGAAATGGGACTTTCTCATTAAAGAGACCTGCAGTTACCTGAAGGGATGAGCTGATGCATGTGAAAATGGACTTTCCCTTCGATTTAATAAATGTAAATGCTCTCTCATATTTGTATTCTTTCTTCATGCTTTTCAATATGATCCCACTTCAACCTTTCTCCCACTTGGTTCATTTTGTGCCTTCAAAGCTTTGTAGCTAACAATGCTCTGTGTGACTTGTAATTATACAAGTCTATTGTACATAATTTTTTAGTCTAATGATCCTTTGTGGAAAATATTTTAGATCATGGACAAACACCAGCTTACATGTTTTGGAAGATGCTTGTCAAAGGTGATGGCCAGTAATAATGTACAGTAGAACCTCAGAGTTACAAACATCAGAGGTACGAACTGACCGGTGAATCACACACCTCATTTGGAACCGGAACTACGCAATCAGGCAGCAGTAAAGAACAACAAAAAAAAAAAAGAAAGAAAATTAAAAGCCAATACAGTACAGTACTGTGTTAAACGTAAACTACTAAAAAAAATAAAGGGAACATTAAAAAAAAAAGATTTGACAAAGTAAGGAAACTATTTCTGTTCTTGTTTCATTTAAATTAAGATGGTTAATAGCAGCATTTTTCTTCTGCATAGTAAAGTTTCAAAGCTGTATTAAGTCAATGTTCAGTTGTAAACTTTTGAAAGAACCACCATAACATTGTGTTCAGTTACAAACATTTCAGAGTTACGGAAAACCTCCGTTCCTGGGGTGTTTGTAACTCTGAGGTTCTCCTGTACTTGCACCGCCCCTTTATTAGTATTCAAGATATGCTGCCATCTAGTGGGTATTTCTGAAAATAGTTGCTCATATCTCACCCTTACATCATGCTGCTGCCTAGTGGCAGTTTTACAGTATAACTTTCCCATTAGTGTATTGGCCCCTGAAATCTATTGGTCACTAGTCAGTATTTCTGACCTCCCCTCTCCCTCACTTCCTGTACTCTGCTGCCATCTAGTGTCCATTTCCCAGCATGACAGCCTGTTACCCTGCTATCCTATAGTGCATTCTTCTTTTTGCTTTCCCATTCTTAGCTCTTATGTCACCTGGTGTCCATTATTTAGTATAACAGCCCATTTCTCACTAGTCAACATCTGCTACTATCCACAGTTCATTAGATAGCATTGAGGTCCTTTTCTCTTTAGTGCTCTTTACCTACCACTTATACAGCAATATACAGCTTCACCTCCCTTTCCACTTCCCTCTTTTGGTCATTTGGCAACATAACATCTCCTTTCTTGCCCTTCCACTGTGGCTGCTGTCCATTGGGCAGCACCACTACACCTTTCCCATTCCTCTGCCCTCTAGTGGCCCTAGACAGCATAATCTCATCTCTCCTCATTTCTTACCTACTGCTAGGTGTGCACTGTTCCAAATTATAGCCGCTAGGAACCAAATCACACAACATCATGATTGCAACATTAGTGGCTATGAGAGCACATACAACAGCAGTGGCTTTCAAAGTATTAGCAGGGGTTTCCTGTCCATCCACTGCATTTGTGTTGATGTGGGGTCTGCTTCCAATGGAAATGCATCAATTGAATCTACAGTGACAGAATTCCCATTGCTCTACAGGGTGAGATTCTCAGAGGCATCTAAGGAAGTTAAGAGTCCAACTCCCATTTCAAAGTGATTTGGGTGCCTAACTCCATTAGGTCCCTTGGAAAATCATTTCCACAGTGTTGGAGCCCTACCGTTCTCACCATTGCCCAGGTCCCCTACCTCTGGCCAAGCCCTGACGTGCTCCCAGTGATTGAGCCAGCATTGCCATGTTAGGCATCACAGAGGTTCTGCCCATTGGTAGGTGGCAGCTGCTTCCTCTCACCATAGGTTGCATCATGCCCCGAGGAGAGGGCCCTGCATGTAGCAGAGCTGAGTAAGGCACCTGGGGCTGACTAGCCACTGGGCCCTGAGAACTAGCCCTCTCGGGACATGTGCTTGTTGCAGTGAGTTTTGGGGACACTCATTGTAACAGGTCCCCTTCCTTTGAACTTCTCTGTACAGTTGGTGGCAGAAGAGCAGCTGCTGCCCTGAAGGGCTGCAGGAAGAGTCCCTCGTCAGGGACCGTTTGACAGACCCAACTGCAGAATTGGCCTCAGTTCTATGTGTGCCCTGACAAAACCCCATGTAGGTCTGGACAGTCCCAGTGGACCTGGTGTGTGCATCTACTTCTCTGTGGTTGCCCAACCTCCCAGCCTCAAAGAGCCCAGTGAGCCTGGAGCGGTTGCTTTGCCGGAGCTGGTCACAGCTGGGCATAGCCCAGGTAAGAGCTATAAAGCTGTTTCTGGTGAAGTGTCCAGAGGTCACTGCTGGGGCCTAGTTGTTTGCGTCTGGCCTGTGAGCGTAGTGAAGGTGGTTGATTTGCAGAGGGCTATACTGGCAATGAGTCCAATTTCAGACTTGGCAGATTTCCCAGGCTTACGTCCCCACATATGCTGCACCAGGAGTTACTATTTTTATTTTCCAAACATTTATTTTGATCATAGACGGCTTTTTCACAGATCTAAAAAATTCATTAAAATTTTGTCTCCATTCTGCCTAGTGCCCAATTAATAACTCCATGATGGGAACCTTCTTATGGCTACCTCCCTCCCTGGTCCTTCCACTGAGATGGACAACACTGAGTGCTGAGATTTACAAAGAGAGTTTTCAACTTAATTTTATGGGGGCTGATTGCTCAAATCACCCAGGCAGTGTTGAAAACCTCATGTTACATTATTATGTAGGTGTATCTGCAAGTTTTTGTGAAAGCCACATTTACTGACTGCTTTGCTAAAGGCTTCCTTGACATCTCTGTCTCTCAGGCTGTAGATGAGGGGGTTTACCAGGGGAGTCAGGACTGTGTAGCAAAGAGAGAACACTTTGTTCAGGTCTCTCAGTGTATCACGTTTCGGTAGCAGGTAGACAATCATTATGGTTCCATAGAAAATTGTCACCACAATGAGGTGAGAGGAGCAGGTGGAAAAGGCCTTTTGTCTTCCAGTGGTGGAAGGGATTCTCAGGATGGTGGTGATGATACACACGAAGGATGTCATCGTTAGTAGGAATGGAGGCAGGGTGAATACAGAGACTAATATGAAATCCACCAATATGACCTAGTGGGTGTCACTGTAGGAGAGTTCCATCAGTGGGATGACATCACAATAGAAATGGTCAATTTCATTTGGGCCACAGAATATTAACTATGATAGCAATAAGACAAAGATGGTAAAACCCAAAAAACCCAACATTTAACTGGAGCCATAAGCCAATTGGAGGTAAAACCTGGTATTCATAAGAGTTGAAGAGTTCAGGGGTTCATGTATTGCTAAATACTGATCATAAGACATCGCTGCTAGGAGATAGCATTCTGTACATGCCAGAGAACCAAAGAAATACAGTTGTGTGATGCAGCCACTGACTGAGATGGTTTTGTCCCCAGTCAGGAGACTGGTCAACAACCTGGGCAGGATGGCTAAGGTGTAGCAGGTCTCCAGGCAGGACAAATTCCACAGGAAGAAATACATGGGGGTATGAAGGTGCTGATCAGGCACAACGAGCACCACGATGAGGGTGTTCCCGGCCACGGTTGCCATGTAGATCACTAGGAATATCAGGAAGATGCTGTCCCTGAACTCAGAGTTTAGAAGTAATCTGACATGTGTGATCCGGGCTAGTAAGACTCTATCACCACTCGCCACCCCATTGAAATGTCATGGAAGACAGGAGACATTCCAGAAGACTGGAAAATGGCTAATATAGTGCTCATCTATAAAAAGGAAAATAAGGACAACCCAGGGAATTACAGACCAGTCAGCTTAACTTCTGTACCCAGAAAGATAATGGAGCAAATAATTAAGCAATCAATTTGCAAACACCTAGAAGATAATTAGGTGATAAGTAAAAGTCAGCATGGATTTGTCAAGAACAAATTGTGTCAAACCAACCTGATAGTTTTCTTTGACAGGGTAACAAGCCTTGTGGATGGTGGGGCGGGGGGGAAGTGATAGATGTGGTATATCTTGACTTTGTAAGGCTTTTGATACTGTCTCGTATGACCTTCTCATAAACAAACTAGGGAAATACAACCTAGATGGAGCTACTATATATATGGTGGGTGCATAACTGGTTGGAAAACCATTCCCAGAGAGTAGTTATCAGTGGTTCACAGTCATGCTTGAAGGGCATAA